GGGGGGGGGGGGCTGTTGGAGGGTAAGAGGGATGTTTGTTTCCATTAGTCCATCCATTAGTTAACCCCCCCCCCCGTGTTTATACTGTGAAATGTCAGAGAGCTGGATGAGGAGCTCGCCGCCCCGTGTTGCGTTCGCTGCCCCCCCTCCCCCCAGTCTGATCCAACCGAGTTGCATAATTTGTGATATTCTTTAGTGGTCAAATAGTTTAAGAAAGACTTCAGCTTGGGTGAAAGCTTAACTTCAACTGGACAGAACACAGTAGGAAAATTGAGCTTTTTGGCTAAAACTGAGTACGACTGATACCGTTCCTGTCTCAGTTCACATGGCGGCTTCTCGTTGGGGTTCAGTCTGGATGTGACCAGATATACCCGTCAGAGACACACACTGGCCTGTTTCATTTCCTTTTTTCTGCTTTATTCTTTTCTTTGGTGTTCTGTTATGAACCTTTTCAACCATCAAGCTGTCAAGAACACATTTTGTGGCATCATCTCCCTCAGCTTCAAGTCTTTATCATAATCTGTTAGTTTTGGCTAACATAGCTTGGCTACAGACCCACAGACATGATTTACATTTTTAGAAAAAGTCATTCATCAATCTTTCTTTTTTTTAAAGTTGCTCCGGGCTTCGTTTAAAGTCAAAAGAACTCGTGAACACAGACGTAATGATATTTAAACCTCAAAAAGAGCCTTTCTAGGGATTTTCCTGCCTGAGTTTGGATTTTGATGCTAACAGAGCTCATTACAGAGCTGTAGTTTTAAAGCAAGTTTGCAGGGCACACGCTTTTTTCTCCATTTATTTTGCATCTCCCTCCTAAATCAAACTCATTTAAAGCCCCAAACATGTTTGACAAGTTTTCAATAGAAAGGAATCCAGATGTTGTACCTTGTTTGAGATTTACTCTCAAGAATAACGTGCACACAAATACTTTTTTAGGCTTTAAGCAGAGCTACAAGCTAACGCCGGGCTAGCTTTGCCTCTACTCCTTTCTCATTTGAGCTGCGTGTTTCCTGCCCGGTTACTTTTCATAATGCCACCTTTGAGAGTCGTAGTTAGTCACGAGATTCGATCGTGATCAGAGGTTTGGGTGGGGGGTGGGGGGGGTGATTAAGCGGGCCGTGTGTTGTTTTGCAATCCCTCGCCGGTGAGTCACTGGAGAGTCTTTTATCATGGTTGAGGCTGTTGACGTGGAGGAGACGGCCTCCGAGAGGGTTTGAAAGGAAAGGGGGAAAGAAAAGAGGAGGAGGGAGAGGAGGAGGAGGAGGAGGAAAGCGTGCCTCTGTGGGGGCAGCAGCCATGTTCTGTTCTCCAGGTGTTTTTCTCTCCCTCCCTCCCTCCCTCCCATCGTTCTGACCTTGACGTGGAGGAATGTGCTCCCTGTTCTGTGTCAGAAGGGATCGGGGCGGGGGGGTTGGGGGGCTCGGTGGGGGCTCCTTTGGCAGCGCTGCCCACTTTTAAACCCTACCTCCACCTAGTTTCATATCCAACGGATCGCAGGAGCTCATTTGTCCTCTGTTTGCACGCTGAGAGCACGCTGTTCTCTTCATGTTTAAAGAGGCCTAGAATGGCTAACGAGTGCGATCTGAAAGTAACAGAATCACGTCTACAGAGTCACGTCTACTGAGCAGTCTTCCAACCGCCAGTATCTGTCGTGATTGCAGGCTCAGAATGAGCTGGGATAGGAAATTTTTCACAGAGAATTTGAAGGCGCAAAAGCAGAAACAAGAGCGGACTGCCAGGAATTTCCCTTTTCCCCGCCGTGACGTCTGGACTCTGAAAGGCTTTGGAGCTTCATGGCTGTTATGTGGCTGCAGAAAAAGCCCAAACCATCAGCCCACCGCCACCGTGCCGGCGTGCTGTGGATGCTAGCCAAACATCTCCAGTTCCGTTCAAACATCAAACTCTGAGACAAGTCTGAATGGTTCAACCTTCTTCTAATCCAACTGTCAAATCCATCCATCCATTATCGTTACCGCTTATTCCCCAATGGGGTCGCGGGGGCACCCTGGACGGCCCCCAGTCCATCCACACAGAGACACACAACCACTCAGACTCACTCCTAAATGCAGCTTGAATGTCCAGCTAACCTAACATGTAGGTTCTTGGACGGTGGGAGGAAGCCGGAGAACCCAGAGAGACCAAAGTCTGGTCAAACGACGATGAACTCAGATGGATTTTGACTTCTGTATTATATGAAATATTATGTTGAAACAAGCTGTGTGCTGAATGATAAGTCCTTTGCTGTCATATTGGGAATCTTTCTGACTTGTGTATAGAAATAGATTTGTTTTCTTCAAACTCGAGTTTTTGTTCTTGCTGATAAACTTGAAGGTTTGGTGACGTTGTGCTGTTCCAGCCTCAGTAAGGATGGGACACAGGTTTTGGAAAAGGCCATGCCCTCCCCAGATGTGCTGACGTGCCTTTTTGTGTGTGTGTGTGTGTTTCGTCGTGCAGGAGCTCTGTCAGTGCCGCCCGTCTGACGGGAACTGCTCCTGCTGCAAAGACTGCATGCTCTGCCTGGGGAACCTCTGGGAGGAGTGCTGCGACTGCGTGGGTGAGTGCCGCCCAACTAAACGCACTGTTCCCGCTGGAAATAGTCACCCTCCATCCAATATGCCGCCTTTCAAGAGGGCGGCCATGTTCCAGACAAAGGCTAAAAGATAGCCCCCCCATCCCAGCGTTTATATGCCGGGGGAGGGAAGTTTTTTTTTTTTAAATGCCTTACTTTGCATTTTCTTAAGTGACCAGATGCAAAGTTAAGTAAGCAAGCTTCTTTCTGCCGGCTGAAAGTTTTCCTTTGAAATACATCGTCCGTCCATGTTATCTCGCAGTTATCATCCTTTTTGTGAAATCTTGACAGAAAAGTACCAATCGGGCTGTTGCTTTTCAGCTAACAACTTTTCAGGGTTGTTATGCCTGCTGGCTAATACCAAATTCCCACAAATTTCGAACCCTGATACGTTTGCAATTTTTTCATCCTTTCAAACAAATTACAAACTTAAAATTAATTCTAAGAGTCTTGAGTCTTTAAAAAAAACTTCAAAGGTTGCTTTGCAGGTTTTGCTAAGTTTAAATCACAGATTGAAATCCCATTTTGAAGCAGGAAACGCTGCCGTTTGTAGCTCTGGCTCCGATGTTGACATTTAGCTAACTTGGTTTTGGTCAGAATCTCATTAGACCGTCTGCGGGCCTTTCTCTCCCCGGGAGGCGTCTGGGGGACATGAGGCTGAGGCTGTAATACGCTCTGAAGGTCGCCAGATTAAAAGGCTTCAGCCCGTTTGGAGTGTCACTGCTCTGATACGAGATGAGTGTGAGGCGAGAGAAGCCAGAGACAGAGTTCACCCCAGCACCGGAAATTAAAGGAGCATTGCCCCCGAAAAGCAGCGGCTCCACATGTGGACGGCAAGCTGTGAGGTCCTCCAGGGATCAAAGAGAGAGGAGGGGGGGGGTTCTTTCTCTGTTATTTGCTAGTCGTCTATCTACTTTCCCGAGTGTTGTGTGTCTTTGTTTTCATTTCGTATTTCTGTTTTTTTCTTCTTTTTTTTCACTTTTTTAGCCCCAATCGCTACTTCTTTCGTTTGTCTTTTGGCTCTTTCAGAAAAGCGTCTTCTCTCCCCCGCGTATATATTAAACTTGAGAATCCATCAGTAAAATTATTCTTTGCAAGTTTGCAAAGTTTTGAGAAAATGCAGCAAGACAAAAGAAAGAGAAAAACTCCAGACTTCTTTTCTGTAAATAAAGACAAAACAATGGTGGACTTCCATGAGATGAAAGGGGACAGGGCTCACTTTAATCTCTGGCCACATTTGTTTGATCCTATTGGAAGATCCCGGTCAGACGATTGAGTTTAAAGTCAGCTGGGTCAGATCGGACCTTTGAAAGGCCAATTTGGATTCCCAATTAACTGCATATCCGACGCAGAACATTCAAAATTCAAGTTTTAATCCTTCAGACATCTTGTGTTTCCACTCCCCTTTTCCCAGTTCGTGTCCCCTAAATGGGAGCTGATCCCACGCGCCTCTGCTCCTGCCCCTGCAAAGCAGCGAACCCTCCGCTTTGACAGACATATATTACTCCCGTTGTTGACAAGGAGGCTTTATTAAAGCTCTTTCATGTGGAACACAAGAACCAGAATCTGACACCGAGCGCTGAACTTGCTGCTGCTGCTGGAGCCCAGATGTTTGGGGCAGGGTCCTCCTCCCGGACGGGACGGCTGCACCTCACCCAGGATAGCGTGGAGCTGTGGGCCTCTGCAGAGCTTTTAGTTGTGTTTAGGTTGTTTTCCCCCTTTGCCACTAGCCGTATATGTCCACTTCAAGTTTCCACTCAAAACATGTTGTCGGTGCCAAACGCCGCCTTCTTTGAAGCGTGTGGTTGGAGGAGCGGCGGGGAGAGGACGGTTTGGGTTTTAGGAGGGGAGGGAGGGAGGGAGGGGGGGCAGACCCATGAGTACGCTTTATCTAAAACAGCTGCTCGGGTTCTGCTTTTAGCGTTGGTTTGTAATCCAAATCCTCTGTCAAGCTCCGCTCCCCCGTTAAGTGATTTACCCGTTAGCTGTAATTCACTTTGGCTCGTTTAAAGAGCAGAGATCCTATCTGAGCGCGTCAGGAGCCGTCGATTAATGACTTCTGTGTGAAACTAAATCTGCTGCTAAAAACAGCTTAATTGAGACGTGGCTCTTTTGACAGTGGCGTGGTTTTATCAGCGAAGGGGCGGTTTGGGGTGTCAAAACCAAAGCTAAGAAAAAAAACAAACCTCTCAGATGGAGGGGTTTTTTGTGTCAGTTCGGGTGACACAGCGTCCGTCTTTCCCCTTCCCCCCAGGGATGTGCAACCCCAAGAACTACAGCGACTCCCCGGCCACCTCCAAGAGCACGGTGGAGGAGCTGCACCGGCCCATCCCCTCGCTGTTCCGCGCCCTCACCGAGGGCGACGTGCCCAGCAACATGATGGTGGTCTCCTTCCCCGTCGCCGAGGAGCTGTCGCATCACGAGAACCTGGTCTCCTTCCTGGAGTCGCTGGACAGCCAGCAGCAGAACGTCTCCGTGCCTGGAAACAGCATCCACGCCAGCTACGACAGTCAAGGTAACGCACGGCCAGACCCAACGGCCTCCGCTTAGTCGGAAAAATGATTATCGGAGTAATTTTTGGTCATGAACCATTTCCTTAGTTCTAAGACTAGATAAATATAGCGTATTTTAACTGTATTAAATATTAGATAGATAGATAGATAGATAGATAGATAGATAGATAGATAGATAGATAGATAGATAGATAGATAGATAGATAGATAGATAGATAGATGTAACTATTGAGCTTTAAGGAATCAATTTTATGGCATTGAATGTATCCGAAATTGGCCCATGTGATGATACAACCACCACCATGCTTTACAGATGGGTTCCTATATTGGAATCTGCTATTTGGATTTTTTCAAAAGAATATTTTTTATTGTCACAATGAAGGGTCACAAACTGGATCTGCGTTTAACTTTGCTAACAACGCTGCATTTTAGCTGAAGATAACAGTTAAAGAAATGAACTTTTCAGAGAGTGGACACCACGATGATGGAGCTATGAGAGCATCGATAGGGGGACAAGCCCAAACATCTGCTGTGATATAGGAATATTCTCCTTTAGGCTTTAAAGCATCTGAATGAAACAGAAAAAAAAACACTTTTTTTCCATGTGGGTAAAAAGGTTTTGGTGGTTAAAGAAAACTGTTAAAAATAATGAGAGTATAAGCAGAAGAGGGAACAGCTCCGGTTTGATTTTTCTTCTATTTTTCAAGTTGAAAACAGCCTCCAGTTGAGGGGGTAATATCAGGGACGAAAACGCTGCTCTTCTGCCATTTTTTATTTTCACTCGTGGCCGCTCTTGACCTCAAAGCCAGCGCTCTGGGCTATAAACTAGTAGTTACATTCCCACAAAGCCGAGCGGTTAACTCGTTCCGCTCATCCGAACACGAGGAGGCCGCGGCCTCCGTCTGGTCCCTCCGGCTGGAGCAGGAGCACCACAGGGTTAACAGCCGCCGCCGCTTTCTGTTTTTTCCTCTGCTTTTTTTTTTCTTTTTTTTGCCTGGATCTGTGACTCACTTGTTTGCCGGTTATTTTTTCCTCTCTCTTTTTCTCTATCTCCGTCTCTCTGTTTCAGAAAACATGTGCACAGTGGTCTACTTTGACGACTGCGTCTCCATCCGTCAGTGTAAACACATCTGCGAGTCCATGGGCGGATCAAAGTACCGCTGGTTCCACAACGCCTGCTGCCAGTGCATCGGGCCCGAGTGCCTGGACTACGGCAGCAAGGCCGTGAAGTGCCTAAACTGTCTGTTCTAAGGTGGGCCGAAGGCCTGGGCCGCACCGGAGGACTGAGGGCAGAGAGACTCGTGACTGTTATGTGTTAGCATTCCTCCGTTACCCTGTAAAATACCCCCGAGACCCCCCCTCCCGCCCCCGCAAATTGTTTTTATTCTGCTGTTACCGTTTCACTGTATATTTTTAGATGTTTTCAATAGTGTTTTTTTTTTTTTTTACTAGAGGTGTATATTAATAATGTATTTTTACAATTATGGTCCGCTAAATCCCAGTCTCATGCCAAATAAAGAAAAAGAATTTGGTGACATGGATGTTCTGGTTTCACCCAAGAGTCTTGTTTTGTTTTTTGGTTTTTTCCTTTAACCCACACGGCTTTGGTTAAAATGTGCTTTTTCCTCCCGGCTGCCTTTCCCCTCCCCTGATCTCAGCGTTGTGTCGCGCTGAAGTCAGTGGGCGCACCATTTAACCGGGGAAACAAAGTTGTTATTATTCCACTCTGGTCCACAGGTGTCCGGTGCTCGCCGACCGTCTCATGCATGCCAGGGGGAAAACATTTCCCGATGCCAGCCTCTCACCGCCGCGCACAAATGCTCTTTGTGATGCCGGGGCTTTTTCCGAAAGCTGCGGGGTGCCCTATCTCTGATTTTGTTCCCAATTGGCATGCAACAGCGGTTTGCTCAGACTCACCGAGCAGACGCACAATGAGACCTTGTTTGTCCTTTTTTCTTTTTTTTTTGGGTGATATTGAGTCCCGGCCTCATTTCGGCGCTGCAGCTGTGCTCCGGAGCAGACGGTGCCAGCAGAGATCATCAGAGGACTAATTTGTTTCATATGTGGGGACGACCACCAGCCCTCCGAGTCCGACCACAGCGTTTGGGAAATGACACGTGACTCGGGATAGCAAGCGGTTTCACCACATTCAGATTATAGCTGCAACTCAAAATGCTATTTGACAGCTTCTCTCAGGCAGGAGATTAAATGGCAGCGAAGCTGTGGCGAAGATCAAAATGGTACCACAGCCTAAACATTCTGCATTGAATCCAGACTGCTGTTGGCCAGGAAACCTACGGAGACTATACAGAGGCCGGGACGGCTCGGCTTTCATGGGGCTTCCACGTTTTCTGCTTTTGTTTGTTACTGGCAAGAAGAGAATTCTACTAAATGGTTTTAACAACAACAAAAAAAGTCCCCATTCTCTGAAAAATGTCAAGAAAATACGAATTAAGTTACTGGTTTTGATTACATTGAAGTCGGTGCCAGAGTTTTTAGCCTAAAAGTCTCATTCTAAAAGAGTCTTGATTCATTTTTAGGCCCGGGGCATGTTTTAGGAAAAACTGGGACAGAAATGCAAAGCATTGACTGGAACATTTAAAACTAATTGAGTTAAAGGGCGACGGGTCAGTAACATGACTGGGTATAAATAGAGCATCTCAGTGGTTAAAATTGAAGGAAGGAAAGATATTTATTTTTCCATTCATTATCTTTCCTGCCTATTTGGAGGGTCTGGGAGGGGAGTAGTCCTCCAGCTGACTTTGGATGAGAGTTGAGGTAAGGACAGGTCTGTGTGTTCGAGTCCATAAACCTTTTGAAGGAGAGATATTTTTATTAGCATATTTGTAAATGCACAAAGTCTGCTCACTAAAAACTCTTACTTTTGGGCTTCTCCACCTGAAATGTGACATTTCTGTTAACTGGGGCCACATACCTTGCTCTTAAAGGATATCCAGCCTCCTTTTTTGTTTATCTCTACCTGAACTCAAATGCTGCTGCGTTCACTGAACCTCCGATGTAGGAGGCTGACACTAATAGCACTATTTTAAGTGCAGAGCAAAAAAGTGACACGTTAGACATCACATTTTTAAGTATCGAAGCGGAATGGTCGATCTAAACTACCTTTCCCATCATGCACCCGTATTCCTGCGCAGGCGCAGATGGGTTTATTTAGAACACAACCGGAAGCTTTACCGAGGATTGACCGAAGAGGATAGTACTTGGTAAAGTTTCGTACCGTTCTTATTTAGCTAATTCAGTGACAATACTGCAGTCGTTAGTAGAGTTGAATTTCTTTGGCTTGTTAAGTGTGCGACACTATGTTTCTGTGAACCAGCCAGTGGCTTTTTTAGTTTCGGACAGGGTAGTTTCTCTGCTAGCCTAGCTGGTTAGTAGCTAGCTGCACCTACGTTAGCATATGGGCCCCTCCATTCAGACCAAAGTTACACTTACAACACCTGTGATGGTAGTACGAATAATTGACTGGTGCAGTCACCAACCTAAGCATTTAAGCTGAAATGTGAGGTTATTTGGCGTGTTTTCCCCCTAGTTATTTTTGTGGTGCAAACAAGAGATTATCAAGTTAATTTTCCAAACCGAAGGGAGATTAAGATGTGAGGCTGGCAGGCAGGAAGGCTTTATTAATCTCCAAAATTAAGTTAAGACTGTTTGCCCTCGTAAAAATTTAAATCAATAACGATTATACAGTGTTTGTAGTATATATTTTTGAGGAAGAATAGCTCAAGGCACCACTGCCTTTAGCCAGTTTGCAGATAAGAGAAGCTGAGTCAATTGTAAACGGGACGAAGGGTCCATAGTAAAACATTGTGTTCATTATCCAATCCCACTTCTCTTTAATCACTTCCTAAAACATACACCGCAGCCCAGGTTTCATTTGGGGCTTAATTTCACATCCATGCGGCTCACCTATTGCAGAATAAGCAGCCACCACAGGAGTTTGAGGTGTATGACTGTGTTTGTGGTACGGACTTGATTATGGGTTCCTTTCTGCTTATGGTGGCAGTCAGAGGATAGCTAGAAAAAGGGTGTATGTTTTGTTTTTTTTAAATGGCAGAAGCCCCATCTGCTGGGAGGAAATCACTGTTGCAGTTGTTCATGTCAAGGGGTAATAGTTCATTTTCGTTCAGGCAAAAAAACAAGTTTTATACAGCAAACAGCGTTTAAGTTTTGTGACCAATTATTTTTAGGATTGTTAACTAATTGTTCAATGTCAATGTTTGCCTAGATTGGGGATTAAAAAAAAGATTTAGCTAACAAAAACACAGCTGAAAGCAGTAAGCAATGTGATTCAGTTTAACTTGATCCATATTTGAACGTGTAGATGTTTTCATCTTTCATTTGAGGTACAAATGAGGTGCTTACTTGCTTACTTTCATTGCCTTGATCTTCATGATGTTGTCGCTCCTTTAGTTATAGACTTTTAAGGCAGTGATGCCATTAAAAATGCTGTTAAACCCCGTTCTACATGTTTTGTTTTAAAATAAATTCAACAGTTTTCAGCTGCCATTATCAGAAGGATCGACACCTCATACAATTATTTTTCACACCATGTAAGAATTAGTAGATTGCTTAGGAAAATAATAAATAGAACCTCCTTTGTGTCTGCAGTCTGTTACAGAGAATAGGAAGGACTGTGCAAATATCTGCCTGTACTGAACTGCTGAGCCACAGTTGAGTTGCTCTGTGTTTAACCGTTTAACCCCTCTGCTCACTGCAGGTGTGATGTAGAGGTAGTGTGAGGCCCGAGAAGCCATGACTGAGTGCTTCCTGCCCCCCAGCAGCAGCCCTGCAGAGCAGCGCAGGGCTGAGCATGCGGGGGGAGTGGCCCGCACCCCCAGCTCTGAGGAGAT